AGCCCATCTGATACAGCATTTAGACCTTTGACTACAAAGAGTGAGTCTTGGATTTGGCATTTATATGCTACAAGGTTATGTTTTGTTTTTGTTTTTGTTTTCTCCCTAAGATACAACAAAACTTCCTATTAGTTTCTGCCTCTTTGGGTTGATTCATGGAAATGCTCAGGGTCCCCAGGTCAAGGAGGCAACACCTACAGCATTGGGACATTTTCAGAGAAAGTCTTCTCTTGATCCAGGAGACCAGGGAGTGACCTCAGCAGATGGGACAACAGTGTCCTGTCACTCCAGGCTCAGCACCTCTGGCTTTTGCTGAACCCCCTTCCTTGAGATTGCCCAGTCCTGAACACACAGATTTACATGGCTGGGGAAAGAAATGAGACATTGTGTTGTGGGTTGAGATAATTTATGGGTACTATTAGCATTGAACCATCTCTAGAAGTTGTTTGTGTCAACAGAAGAGGGACCAAGAGAGCCTGTGTCTGGAGAGTTTGTGAAGGTAGAAAAGCAAACCATCAGGGCAAGCCCAGGGGAGAGGGTTCATGTCTGTCTTTGCAGTTCACGTGAAAGAAAGGAGAGGAGTGGCGAGTCCCATTTTTCCTATAACCCGGGAAGGACATTGGATTTCCTAGAGCTATTTGCATGAGTGTGGTAAAGGCATGCTGTATATAATTATGTTTGCTCAGAAGTAACCTGCCCCTTCCCCACTCCCATCAGTCACCTTGCCAAGCCCTTGCTGGGGCCTTTGAAGAGTTTGCAGTTTTGTTGGAGGAAGTCACTTATGGGAAGAACATTTACACTTATAGGACTAGCTCATAGAATCAAGATCAACTTATAACTCTATACACAAAGATATAGTCATATATATACATAAACCTAGACATGCATTTTATAGGTTTTAGAAAAGCAGTCTAACATCTGTTTTTCTTTCCTTGTTAATTCCATCCCCTTTTACCCCCTTGGCCCTAATGCCCACCCCTAACTCTAAAATTCCTCAGCAAAGCCTCATTTAAAAGATGCTATAGACCCTGCATTTTGAACTGGCTCCCAGAGTTTGATTTTGAAGATTTCTTCTCCCCAACCTCACCCCAACCCCCTTTGGCCTTCCAGCTGGCCGGGCCATCATTCCATGGCCCAACCTTGACAAATCTGTGCCTTCTGGTGCATCTTGCCACCAACTAGCACCTGTCAGTCTTTTAGGGCCTGCTGAGCATTCACTGGGCATCAAGAACATGGCAGTGACAGTGGTGTATCAGAGCCATAACACAGCTGTGGGCACAAGCAACCTGCCAGGTCAAAAGCCATTGTGCAAAGGTCCCCTGCGTGTTCTCTTTCATGAAACTTCTGCTATGATGAGGGCTATCCCTCTGTGAACTTCTGTTTATTTTATTTTAGTTTTGTATTTTTGTATTCTGTTTTTTCATCATATTCTTGATTTGAATATTCTAGAACAATGATTTTCAACTGGTATGCCACAAGAATCTTTAAAACATATAATACCTGACCATTTAGTCAGGGGCACTGACCTCTTTTCCCTTAGATTGTAAAGTTAAAAAAAATGACAAGAGTCAGCACAATAGCTGGCTAGTATGAATGAACCAAAATTAAAAATTAAACCAAATTTTTTTGTGAGGTTGGCAAAAAAATAATATATTTTTTTGGTGTGTCATAGAATTTTAGTAATTAGTTTATGTGTGCCATGAGATGAAAAAGGTTGAACATCACACTGACCTAGAATCTTGAGTCTTGTCCAAGAGAACAAGAGTCATAGCATCATAGCAAATCAGACCTGAAGCGCATCTAACCCATTCTCTCTAGTTTATCAATGAGGATGCTGAAGCCCGTCGAAACAGAGAGAATTGCCCAGGGGCATGTGGCCAATTATATCCAAGACTAGCAGTCAGGCCTCCTGACTCTTCTTGTTCAGTGCTTTCACCTTAAAGTGGTATTTGTTTAGCATATAAGTATGTGGTATACAAGGTCTGTCTTGGAGGTATTCATCCATGTAATATGAAAAATAGAGACATTTATTGAAGAAGATACAAGAAACATCGTACATAGGACAATGACACCTCAGTCCCCTTCAAAGTAGGCACCTTGAGATTTCACACAGTTCTCCCAATCGCCATCAGCTGCCCCATTGTATTTTCCTGAATCTCATCAATGGTCTGAAATCTCTTTCCTTTCAAAAGTGATTTTAGTTTTGGGAAAAGCCTGAAGTTGTAGGGCACCAAATCTAGGCTGTAAGGGGCTGAATCACCTGGGTGATTTGATGTTTTGCCAAAAAACTGCACGAGATGTGATGCATGAGAAGACACATCGTCGTGATGAAGCTGCCAGTCACCAGTAGCCCATAGCTATGACCTTCTGAATCATTCAAATAGTTTCTACAGAGGACTATCCAAGCTTAATGCAAAATTTGATGCAGATTCGTTGTTCTACTCTCTCAGTCATTTTGAATGCAACAGCCACACAGTACACATGCTCATTCAATGTTGTCTACTACCCCCACTGACTAGTACAGTGAAGTCATTGTTCATGCATGGGCATTCCAGACCACTCACTCTCTTTGGCTGCCAGGTTATATCAATGTCACATAAACCATTCTCATCATATTAACAATGGTAGGACTTTTTCCAAACAGACTTTGTACAGCAGCTATCTGTGTGTGTTGGTATTTATTCCAATAAGAGTAAAATTACACATAACAGGTAAAATTACTGAATAAATATTAAATGGCAGACATTGTTCTAAGCACTTTGTATATGCAATAGCATTTGCCCTTATAACAATCCTATTAGGTGGGTCATATTATTATCATCAATTCACAGTTGAAATACCTGAGACACAGAGAAGTTAAATAACTTTCCTTTAGCATATTTTATTTATTTATGTATTTTTGGAGAGAGGGGGAGGGAGAGAGAGAGAGAGAGACAGACAGACAGACAGACAGACAGACATCAACTGTGACAGAGAAATATGAACTGGTTGTCTTTCATATGTGCCCTGACTGGGGACTGAACCCGCAAACCCAGGCATGTGCCCAGGAGTTGAACCCATGACTTTTTGCTTTTGGAATGACACCCAACCAACTAAGCTACACTGGTTAGGGCTGGGGAAGTCCTATTAGATTGAGACTTCTCTGGAACTTGGGGCTGTATTTGCATCAGCAAATAGGTACTGAGCCTCTGGAATGGATGAAGTTCCTGCCTTTCTAGTGGGAAATAAGACATGTGAGTGGATCAGTCACAATAGCACTCAGGGATGGCTGAGACAGGCATGCATAAAAGGTGGCAGGAAGCTGAGGAGGGTGTAATGGGCTTCACCAAGGAGTTAGCATTTGAATGGCCTTGGGGATGCATAGGAATTTGCTAGCTGGAGAGTGAGTGCTCCTGCATGAATGGATGGAAGGACCTAACACGTTCAGGGAAAAAGCAGGAGGGTGAGAAGTTCAGAGTGCTAGAAGGCAGAAGCATGGTGACTGTGCGGGAGATATTGGCAGATGGGCCTAGAGAGGCAGGTTGGGAGCAGACTGTAAAGCACCTGTGTCCCAAGATAAGGAATTTGGATTATATCCGGTACATAGAGGGGATCCAACAGAAATTTTTATGAGTGAGGAAATGACAGAATCAGGACCATAGAGATGGTAGAAGCATGGGGAGACTGGAGACAAGGAGACCAGCGAGGCGGTTGTTGAGGTTGTCCAGGTGGAAATGAGGGCCTGGACTGCTTATAGCCATCTGATTGGCACAGTCTGCCTACACTTCGATCTTCCCACTGCTTCCATCACTTGGAATGTTCTCTTTAATCCAGTCTTGCTGGAATGACAGGCCCATCTTTCAAGACTAAGCACAGGTGTTCAACGTGGAGACTTTCCTTAGTACCCACCCTGCACAGGCTTGCGCTCTCCCTCCTTTGGTGCTCCACTGTCTCTGGTACATTCCTCTTCCTCCCTGGACACACATAAAATCGTGTTGCACATCTTTATGTACATTTCTCTTTTCTGCTTACACCCAGCCTCTTGAAGGCAGAACCAGACCTTTGCCTCCTTAAATACTTGGCACAGTGCCTGACATTCAGTGAACTCTCAATAAATGTAAGATGAATGAATAAACGTTCTAAATAAAGGCCACCGCCTTTATTTATGATCGTGGTGGATATGGAGATGAGGCCAAATTTGGGAGATGATATTTTTAAGTTATATCGGGGGTTGGAAAAACATGGCCCATGGGCCAAATCCAGCCCACTTCTCTACTACTTTTGTAAATAAAGTTTGGTTGGAACACAGCCAACCCCATTTGCCTACATTTTGTCTATAGCTGCTTTCATGCTACAATGGCAGAGTTAATTCTTTGTGACAAGATCGGATGGCTTGTAAATGTAAAAATGTTTACTCTCTGGACCTTTCCTGATAAAGCTTGTCAACCTTAGAGTTAGGTGGCCAGGATTTATGACTGGAGATAAAGGGTGATGGAAAGGAAAGAGACAAGACTTCCTTTTCTCTCGTCTCCTCACTGTCCTAGTACAGCACTTTGCTCCCAAGTGATGGCATTGATCCATAAGCCTGCAGGAACTGAGAAATGCCCATGACTGTGGGGCAGGAGGAAAAGGGAGCCTAAGAGTGTAAGGTGGGAAAGAGACCCATAGGAAGAGACCAGGGCCTTGGCTGATGTGGCTCAGTTTGTTGGAGTGTCCTCCCATAGGTCAATAGGTCGTGGGTTCAATTCCTAGTTAGGACACATACCTAGGTTGTGGGCTCAATCCCCAGTTGGGCATGGCATGTATGAGAAGGCAACCAGTCATTGTTTCTCTTTTATCAATGTTTTTCACTTTCTCTCTCTCCAAAGGCATCGAAAAAAGGTCCTCAGGTGAGGATAAAAAAAATTAAAAACAGAACAAACAAAAACAACAGAGAGACTAGGGCCATAACATACAAGGCAGAATTGATCTAAGTCCTGCTTCTTCCTCATGAAGCTTCTCATGCCTGTGCTCTCTTTCAGTCATCCAATTTGGCTTTGTCACCCTCTTTGTGGCCTCCTTCCCTCTGGCACCTGTGTTCGCCCTCCTCAACAATGTCATTGAAGTGCGGCTTGATGCAAAGAAGTTTGTCACGGAGCTGAGACGGCCAGATGCTGTGAGAACTAAAGATATCGGTATGTCCCCTGCTTAGAGGTGGTGGAAGACCCATCTCCCCCGCCCCACCACCCTCATGCTGATGGGAATCCAGAGTGTTGGGGAAGCCTTTGCCTCTTCACCCCTCTGACCTCCTCATCCTCAAATCTTCAGGTACTGGCAGGCTTTCAGAGGCTGTGTTACAGAGGAGCACCTCAGCCTCTCTAGACAAGCCCACTGCTGGGTAGCCCAGAAAACCTTCTTTGGTAATGTCCCTGCAAAGCATCACTCTGAGCTGCAAGGTTGTCATCACTGGGCCATGGGTGGGAGTGAGCCAGACACCCTTCTTTCTGTCTTACAGGGATCTGGTTTGACATTCTCTCTGGAATCGGCAAGTTCTCTGTTATCAGCAATGTAAGTGCTTATATTCATGACACCCTAGCATTGTGGGAAGGGCTTTCCTGAGGGACTGAGGCCTTCCAAGTGAGACGCTAGCCCTCGTTACATCTCAGCCTTTTCCATTCAGAGCTTTATTTAAAGCAGCTCCCTGGTTAATAATGCATGGAAGCCTTTCTAATTCATTGTGCTGTTGCCAGAACAATGCCACTTAATTGTTAATTTCACTAAGAGAAAGAAGGGTAATTACCCACCAGAATGCAAAACTTTGCCTTAAAAGCCAAAATCAGGTCTTTGCTCAGAGCCAAGACTAATGAGGAAAGAATTCCTTGTATCTATCCATCTCTTTCCTTTCTTTTCTACTCCTGAGCTAAACAATACCTGGAGCCTTGCCCAGGTTGCAATTCCTAATTACGGTTCCTCCAAGTTGTCATTGTGAAGTCTTAATTATCCCCATGGACTCTGGCACTGCATAGGTGAAGATAGGACATGGGAGAAGAGGGGTCCTACCTGTTGTGACCTCCTTAACTACCTTGCCAGACACGTCCACATTTCAAAGGAAATCCTGCTGGGCCCAAGCCAACAGCTCCTTTTGCTCCTGCCTTCTGTACAGATGGTGGCCAGGCAGGGCCTCCTCTCGCAGTCTCCCAAGAACATGTCAGCCAGCTCAATGAACACCAAGAAATCCACAGCCCATTTTCCCTTGGGAGAGGACCGCTGACTCTGGTTGGGACCCGGTTCCCTAGTGAGAACACATACAATGGCTGGAGAGGTATGAGGGAGGCAGAGAGAATCAGCACATTGCATTTTTGAATGTTTGATGTAGGAAACACTTTGATTTTGAGAAACAAGGTACAATTTGGGAAAATTTAGATCAATAGCTAATTGGAAGTTCTGTCTACAAAAAAAAAAAAAAAAAAAGAAGGCCCTGAGTACTAAACACTTTCCATCTATACAATAGAAGGAAAGAAATTGTACTCTCCCAGCCTGACTTCTTCCCTTATCTGTAAAAATGGGAGAGACAAGAGGACCCACAACTAGGATCGCTCTGGAGGTCACACATGATGATAAAAGGACAGCTAACCAGTGCTCAGTAGTGGTAGCTGTGATTAATGTAAGTATGTCACTCACTCTCAAATATGGTTATGGCCATCCACAGTCATATATACATTTAGAAAACAATACCTAAACTACGTTTTTAAAAAAGGGCTTTAATTGTTGGTGTGGAACACAGTATAAACACTTGCCAAAAAGATTTAAGGTTTTCTTTGCAGAAAGGACCTCCCCATTCATACACGGACTCATTCATTTGTCATTTGGTTTGCTCCACAGACGTTTATAGGCTGCTTAGAGATGCCAGACGCTGTGCTGGCTATGTGTGGTTCCATCCAGCAGGGCCCATTCATTTCCCCTCTGTGTCTCACTTCTCCTAAGTAAAATGAACAAAAGAACCAGTTCCATTATACAATGTGCCAGAAAGTGCCAAGAGGTAATGGTCAAATTGAGGGAATTGGGGAACCACATCCTTGGTATTCCTGGCTTTCGGGTGTCATTCAAGGGCAGATGTACCTGGTCATTCAGAGTCCTTGCCTATGGTACCTATGTGACATTTTTATCACTATTGGTATTTTTTCAGAAAAAAATCTTCCATTCTACTTTGGATTGGCCAGTACCAAATATCTCAGAGGTGATTTATTCCCTCCAGCACCGAATGGCCCAAAATGGCTTAGCATCATTTTCTACAGTGGTTGTAACTTACTCTCTTGACAGCCACTGTCTTATGGATTTACTTACACATATCAAAAGTGGAAAAGCCAGGTAAGTCAGCTGGCTTTTCATGAGCTGAGAACTCAAAAGCTGAGTCTCATGAGCTCAGAGGTAAGGACTTCTGTATCAACCAGAGCAGCACCTCTGGATGGCAAGCCCAAGAAGGGACAGTCTCTCAGCCAGGTGGAACCCGTGCCACCTGGACAGCATCCACCCTGACCTCTCCTCAAACACTTTTGGTTTTGTTCCTCAGGCTTTTGTCATTGCTGTCACCTCCGACTTTATCCCCCGCCTTGTGTACCAGTATGCCTATAGTCACAACGGGACTCTGCATGGCTTTGTCAACCATACCCTCTCCTTTTTTAACGTCAGCCAGCTGAAGGAGGGAACGCAACCTGAAAACTCACAGTTTGACGAGGAGGTTCAGTTCTGCAGGTAAAGTAATCGTGAAGAGGAGAGAAACGGAGGACCTTGACTTGGAGATCCAAATAATTGTCTGGGTGACCTAGACTTAGATCATTCTCCTTTCTCCTACCCCTCGCCTAATTACTATAAACCCATTTCCATGAATCAACAAATACTTATTGAGTATTGAGTGCCTTTTGCTAGACACTGTGAAGCAGACAAAGAATTATATAGCCTCGTCTTTACCATTAAGGGGTTTATGGTCTGGTTGGGAAGAAAACAAGCAGGACAGATAGGAAATAGCAGGCTATTCAATAATTATGTCTAATATGGACCATAAACATTGTGGCTATTCAGAGAGGGAGATCAGTGTTGGGTGGAATGGAGAGGGGAGGCTTCCTGGAGGCACCAAGAGGGATTCTAGGACAGAAAAAGTACCCTAGATGGGGAGTCAGTATGGGCAAAGTCATGGGGGTGGGGATGAATCTGGGGTGTTAGGGACTCTGCATGACTTTGTCAACTATACCTTCTCATTTTTTTATGTCAGCCAGCTAGGTGATATAGTTAGCAAAGGGAGTGCTTAAGAAAACAATAAGGAATAATATAATATTATATATATATATTTTTTCCTAGGATAATAAAAGCCAAAATATTGTTGAACTTGGATAGGATAAAGTAGTTGGTGGGAAATGTTGAAATCTTACAAGAATTTTAATGTGATATAATAGGAAGATATTGACTGTTTAGTGACAAGGAATGAGAATAAAGGGTAGGCTTAGGAAAATTGATCTGGTCTTAGAAAGAAAGATAAAGTAGAATTGGGGGAACTCAGGGAGGGCAGCTGAGCTGCTGTATCATTCAGACATGAACCACGATGGAAACAGAGCAGGGTGGTGGAGGAGGAAGAGAGAAGATGAGCTATTTTATTAACATATTGCAAAGTTGGTGACCAGAAACAGAGAGTCTTAGTCCAGAATATCCCCAAAGTTTGGAGTAAAGTCAGAAAACTAGAAAATTGTGGATACATTCACAGAGATGGGGAAGATGCTAAGTGAATCTGATGAATATGGTACATGTGATGAATTTGATTTTAATCATATTGCATTGAAAATAATGGTAGGAAATCGGAGGGGAAATTTTCACCTAACTTCTAGGCACTCTAAGCTAGAATTCCAGAGAGGTCCAGATGAGCATTATGATTAAAACCCATTAACACAGGGATCATTGAAGCCAAAAAAATTAGAAAACTCTCCAGTATTTACACATGAAGGCAAAATGAAGAGAAGATCAGAGGGGACTAAATTATTTAACACTTTTGTACTCTGGTGAAATGATAGTCCCTATAAAGGACTTAATCAAGGATCATACCTCATAAATTTTTTAAAAAGTAGAACAATAAATACAATGAAAATAAAAATCTAGGAAAAGGTATTGTTGGGAAAATACAGGGCTTTCCCGGACCATCCCCAGTGGTATCTGATGTCAATGACACCAGTGAAGAAGGAGTGAATCTGCTGTGTTTGTAGCAGTCATGACCCTGGGCATGTCTGTCCTGCTTTCCCACCCAAGACACCTTGGTATTTGAGATCAGCCATTTGTAAGGTGGCCGCTTTAGGTCAGATTCACAGTCTGAGACTACAAAAGAAAGAAAGAAAAAAGTTGATCTTCTAACCAAGATGACTCAGTTAAACAGCCTTATTAATTTGTGATTTAAATAGAAGAGTATTCTGGACCCAGGAGCAATAACTTTAAGGTTCAACTCCAGCCAACCAAGAAAAGACTCAAAATCAGAGACCAGATCTAAGAACAGATGAGTAAGTTTATTAATAGATATCAATTTGTAGCAGGCTCAGTGTTTCAGGAATTTTCATATCTGGGCCTATTAAGACTCTGGCTCTTAGACTAAAGTTGTACCCAGGGGCCACTCCTCTATGTGTCTGGAGTGCCAGGCTGTCCATGGTGCTGGAATTTGGTCTGTAGACTGAGCGGACATAATGCTACTGCTCAGAGAGGGTCTATACCAGCTCTAGACCTTTCCTGCTAGCATCTAGATGTGCTCCAGCAGGGTCCATGGAGTCAGTTGATAGGTTTATATTAAATAAACAGGCACAGAAAGATGAGAATTAGACAGTCATTTTAATAACTGGAAGGTACCACAGAAATCATCTTGTTGAAACTCCTTATTCCATAGAAAAATAAACTGAGGCTTAGAAAGTTGAAGAGTTCTCCAAGATTACAGAGGTTTCTAGTGACAGATCCTGAACTAAAATCCATATCTATCCAAGAACACAAGCTTCCAGCCCTATGTGCAGAGAGGGCACAACACTAGTGTGACTTATTGTGTGGAGAAGCAAGGCTAACACTATCTGCTTCTTTAGTTGGTCTAGAATCACATGTTTGTCCAGAACACTGAGGTTCTCTGACCTTGCCCTGACTATCTGATCTTCCAGTAACAAATATGAGTATGATTTCCAGATATATCAGTGGCCTAAATTGCCTTAAACACAAAGGGACTTTAATGACTCCATATTGAAAGTTGAGGGTAGGCCTAATTTTAGGCAAGTTTGATTCAATCAAGTCTGCACCAACCAAATCTTTCTCCATCTGCCAAGCCCATTCCAACTGATGTTGATTATGGTTTCAGGATCTGTGCAACTGCCAGCAGCTACAGGCCAGTGGGATAAAAGCCCATACCTCATTCCCAACAACCCCAGAGAAAGTATCATTGAAGCTCATTGACTACGATCAGTATGCATGCCCTTCCCAGAACCAATTAAGCCCTACCTGTAACCCGAGAAATGTGATGCTCTCCATGGCACTTGGGGCCACTGGGGCTGGGCTTGGGGGTGAAATCATCTCCAGCTGAAGAACATGATCTCTGAGTTGGAGGCAGTTCCCTAGTGAGAAGACAAGATGAATGGATACCACTCAGCTGAAACAAAAAATGCCCAGGACATCAGGTGTTAGCACACATGGAGCAGATCAAGCTTTCTTCTATCTGCCTTCAGAGTCACTGGGTTTTTCAGCCAGTTGTAAATCCCCAGTAACTCTTCCCTCCGTTGTTTCCATGCAAGTAGTTGGCATCATGGCTTATCTGTGGCCCATTTTTTAAAAATTCTGTGACTAGTGGCAGAATTATTAATGGGTGGATGCATAGGAAGTATACTCTATATTCCTGCCAAGAAAATTTATTCACAGAAAATAAATCATTCCAGAATCAAACCAAAATGATTTTTGAAACATCTGATTATTTTTTCTTTATTCAGTGCCAGTGGGGATTATAGGTTCACTAATACGACTGGTTTTGATACCTTACTATAAGCCTGGCACTAGTGATATGATAGAGAATAAGACAAAGTGCCTCCCTCAAGGAGTCTAGATAGAGGAGTAAGTAAATAAGCAGCTAAAATATAGCTTTAATTGTTTACAATAGTGTCAGTATAGGGAGCTCTGATGGCTGTGAGGACAGAGGCCATGCACCTGGCTCAGACTTAAGTGTTCAGGCAAAGCTTCAAGGGAGGTGGAGCCTGAAGAACGATCAGTGCAAGAGTGGCCAGAAGAATCATCTTGTTGAAACTCTTCATTCACATGACCACGCTGGCCTGGGTGGTGAGTGGGGTAGGAAGAGCAATGGTGGATGGTAAAGGGGGTGCCTGGTGGAAAAGGGGTCTGGGGAGAGCAGTGGTTTCCAGGTGGAGGGCGTGTTTCTGCTTGGTAGTTGGGGATGGCGTGAGACAGGTCAGCTAAGAGAGGTTGGAAGGAGGCACCAAAGCCAGACAAAGAAGAGTATGCTGGTCATTTGGAGGTGTATGGATTTCCCCATGGGGCAGCATGAAGCCACTGAAGAGGCTTAAAGGAGCAGTGATGAGCTCAAACTTTTCCTTGGTGTTACCTCTGACCACAGTGTGAAGACTAGCAGGTTACATTAGAAATAAGGAGATACCCTACTCCAAAGTGTGGGCAGATGTCTAGAGAACAAAGTCAGCATATCATCTAGACAGGCCCTATCAAGTAGGTATGCTTTGCCAGCTACCTTTCCTAGATGGGTGAGAATTGTTGATAAAAATATCTACATCTGATGGGTCCTACTCAATTCATGCTGTGTGGACTTGTCTGGGTCATCAAATTCTCTAGAGATTTAGGAAGTGGAGGCATAACCCACTGATGTCTTTGTATGGTGGGAATTGTTAGTGACTAAAAGTAGAAATAGAGAGAGGAAGAGAAAAAGGGAGAAAGTGAGAGACAGAGATTGAAAATGAGAAACAGACAATTCCGTAGCTAGCCCAAAAGCCGGTATTTAAAACTACTCCTGTGGTGGGAAATGAAGTTTGCCCTGATTTTCTGGCAAATAGTGTTGGGAACTCAATGACCCTTCTTATTCTTAGCTTTCAGTGACCTCTGGAGATAAATGTGTATCAAATAAAACTGAGGTCTCCAGCTCTAACCCAGCCTCACCAGGGAAGAGGTATCTTAAATATAGCCATAAAAGTTAAGGCAAGTCTCCGGCTGCCCATTTGAGATGCATTCCCAGCATTTTTGGAGCAATGTTGGCCCGAACCGTCTAACCGCTCTGGCAGGGCTGCTCCATAAACGGCCTCTGACGTCAATCTGCAGGCATGATTAGCGCCCATTTGACAAGGTCGAAGGACCACTGTGTCCTGGAGGATGGATGATGGCTTGGGCTCTGGGCTCAGCTGGAAGGGAGCAGAGAGATCAGCAGGGCAGGGCCTGGCCTGGATCCTGGGTCTCAGAGCTGGAGGAGTCACCCTGGGCGTGGTTAACCCAATGCGCCTGTTTGGAGGTGCTGAGCCTGAAGAAACTGCATTCTTGGGTAGCTCCTGCTGGGTTTTTCTGTGAGCGAGCGCCTAAGTTCTTTCATATCCTGAGGTGCTGTAAAATTCTTTGAAGATGCGAGTTTCCTTCCAGCCCATGGCTGCCTCTCATCTGCTTCTTGCTGAAACCAGAGGTAAAGTCAGCTTTTCCGGGTGTTGCCTTTCCTGATCTTTATCAACCACTGGATTGACATGGTT